ATACAACCAATATGTTTGTATAAAACTTGTAGTAACGGTGCTTATAATTGGTGGGTGCGACTAAATTTTGGCTGATGCGGCTACATTTTTAAAGTTAATTTAAGTTAAGGTTAATTTCGAGCCCTGCATGAGATCCTCGAGCCCAGGGCTCCCTCCCGTTGCAAGGCGGGAGGGGAGTTTGAGCTCAGGTAGATCTTGAGAACTCCCCTGCTGTAGTGAACAATGAACAGTAAGTGATTGCTCTTGGAGATAACTACGTACTAGAAGCATATCTATGGTGCCAATTTAGATTATTCAATTAACTTAATTGCATGTTTTTAGGCGGTGGGAGGAAACCGGGGAACCCGGGGGAAACCCACGTGAGCTCGGGGAGAAGTGCAAACTCCACACAGAAATGTCTGCTGGTTTGGTAAAGCCTGAAACCAGAGACATTCTTGCTGTGAGGCGACAGTGCTAGGCACTGGGCCGCCGTGTCACCCATCTAAGAAGGAGGAGTAGGGGTGGAAGGGGGGACTCTTCAAAACGAAGATAGCAGTGGAATGAAACCCAGGGTATTGATAGTAATTTAGGAGTCATCTGATTGGAGCGTAGTGAATTGGATATTGCGGATCCAGCCGCTAGCAATCATAAGCACGTGATCCTCTCCAAATTTGTTTATACATAAACTTCACTTATACACATAATTATGACTTTGACATGCTAAAATTACTTGGTTTAGAGTTTGTGTTATCTCTACATGCCTCCTCACTCATTTCACTTTCTGTGTGTCGTGTATGAGCTTGCTCAATAATCATGAGCAGATGGGTCAGGGTTTCATATATTAGTTTTCATAATTTTCAGAGCCCGAAATTTAGGATTTACCCAATTTATCTCTGACCACACCATAAATAAACAGTTAATTATTTCTTAGCCACAAGTTTTAAATGTGTGAAAACATGCAAAATATAGCAGAATACTATACTTTTTATTTAACAAAACATATGCACAGTCATATGCCCTGGCTAAAGGTCCCAGATCACCAGTTAACTACACATAAATGGGGAGTTATTCTCCCATTAAAGCAATGTTATTGTAAAAAATGATAATTAAACCATATTAATGCAAAAGAAAGCAGGTAAAAACATACTGTGTGATAATGAAAGGATGATCCCACACGCATGGGTAATGATAGACCCATAAACTATCTTTTCAAAGAATGGTTAAACCGATAGCAACTGGCGCTGCCCACAATAAGTCAACTCTGGAACTCTTGAAAGCAGCAAGACTGTGGGTGCACGTTCCTCCCTTTTTGTTCAGTCTATTTGAAAGAGAACCGATCGCATGTGTTTCTAGACACAGTTGCTTCACAAAAGGAAAACAGTCGTGTGGTACTCGTGGTGATCCGAGTTTGATTGTTGGCTCGAGGGCCTTTGCCGATCCTTCCCCGATCTCTGCTCCCCACACTTTCGTGTCTGTACATCTCCACTGTCCTATCAATAAAGGTAAAAACCCCTAAAAATAATTATATAAAAAAAATTGCATTACGCAAAAGAGCGAAGCTCATAAAAGTATCGCCTTGACCTCGTTCTCAACTTGCGGTGGTGCGCTGACAAAAATGATTAGATTTACTCCATTTTTTAAAGCTAACTGGTTGCAAACAGTTTATATGGGCTGAGTTTAAACAAACGAATTAAATGTAGAAACGCTCAACTTAATTTGTTTGTTTATATTCAGCCCATATAAATATTATTTGCAACCAATTACCTTTAGAAAATTGAGTAAATCTAATGAAGCGTTGTTTTCAGTGTAGAAGCGCCGCTGGATGCATTTAATGCCCTCTTAGAGCCATTTCAGACAGGAAATAATGCCCAGTTCATTTGTTTTCCATGCACAGAAAGAACGAGAGAGAAAAGAGTCAGTCTGGGCATTTTTCAGGCCTCTCGTCGCAAACCGCAGCGCAGAGGCCCAGGCCATTACAGGATGAGGAGGTGAAAAAAAAAGTCCTCCGCTAAGAAACTTTGCGTCATGCAACCTTTCGCTCGAGGCTATTAAAACCATGCGAGTTCAGAAACGTGATGAAAAGCCATGTGTGCACTGAGTGAGTTGCTTAACAAGTCACACTGCTAAATTTGCCAGATGCACATCCTGGAATTCCAACGTGAGTCATCGATTTTGATGACCTGAAACTGGTTTTCTTCTTGCGCATCATTCATTAGTGGCAAACTAACGGTAAGAAAGGGCGTGTTGAACAATATTATGGATGAAGACGTCAACAGAGAAGTATCCAGTCCAGCTTTGGTTGAAGATTCATTCATTAATTTTCCTTCGGCTTAGGGTGTACAACTAAACATTATTATTTTCACGCTTCACTTGCATGTTTGTCGTTTTTGTCACGTTTCTAACTGCATGTGAGAAGCTCTTCAACCTAATCATGCAAAAGTTATCACCATGAGCTCAGGTTCATTGCTTTAAATGTAGACTTGCGGAGAGCGGATGAGTGCACACAAATAGAGAGAGCGAAATTACTCGCGATTTCCATGTGCTTTTAGACGGCCGAGTAACCAATACATTTTTTTCAGCCTCAAAGTTTTTTTGATATTGAATCATAATTTATATTTTGTCTCATAGCATTTTTTAAAACCATTTCCAACCTGTTTTGCATCAAGATTCTCGGTATTCTCGTGTGCATGTGTGAATAATTATGACTCGCATGTGGGTACAAAAACGCTGTCAGTTATCTAAAACAAAATTTATTAAAACAAAATGCTTAAATATTAAGTAGAGTTTTTAGAAATATTAAAAATAGATAAGTCTATTTTGTCTATAGACTTATTTGGTTATATATATATATACAGTTGAAGTCAGAATTATTAGCCCCCTTCAAATTTTTTTCCTCTTTTTTAAATATTTTCCAAATGATGTTTAACAGAGCAAGGAAATTTTCACAGTATTTCTGATAATATTTTTTCTTCTGGAGAAAGTCTTATTTGTTTTATTTCGGCTAGAATAAAAGCAGTTTTAATTTTTTTAAACACCATTTTAGGGACATAATTATTAGCCCTTTTAAGCTATATTTTTTCTTGATAGTCTACAGAACAAACCATCATTATACAATAACTTGCCTAATTACCCTAACCTGCATAGTTAACCTAATTAACCCAGTTGAGCCTTTAAATGTCTCTTTAAGCTGTATAGAAGTGTCTTGAAAAATATCTACTCAAATATTATTTATTGTCATCATGGCAAAGATAAAATAAATCAGTTATTAGAGATGAGTTATTAAAACTATTATGATTAGAAATGTGCTGAAAAAATCTTACCTCATTTAAACGGAAATTGGGGAAAAAATAAACAAGCGGTCTAATAATTCAGGGGGGCTAATAATTCTGACTTCAACTGTATATATATATATATATATATATATATATATATATATATATATATATATATATATATATATATATATATATATATATATATATATAAAAGAAATGTGTGTCTTCCAACCAGCACCTGGAGATTGTTCATCTTTCATGAGCAGGATGAAAACGTCTGCGTGAAAGATGCATTCAGACTAAATCATGATGATCCAACAGAGCCGATAACCTGCCATCTGACATCCACCAAGCCCAACCATGTGTACGCCGAGTCTGGCCTTTAAAAAGCAGACTATCTGTCTGGAAAGTGTGTTTTATTTGGTTTTATGGCTACTGATTTGATGCAGGTGGCAAACTGTGCCTATGAAGTTTCTTGGCGGCGTCAGGCTGCTCTGACAAATGAAAGGCAAGTAAACGTCTGGCCGAGGCTGAGAGGAATGAGTCAGGAAATCCACACGACATGGATTTATGAGGTCCAAACACCTTAAAAGCCTTCGCTGGAGGCTAGACAGACAGTCTGTTGCTGGAGGACACTTTTCACAACCTACACTCACTGGCCACTTTATTAGGTACAACTGCTCCTTAACGCAAATTTCTAATCACATGGCAGCAACTCAACGCGTTTAGGCATGTAGACATGGTCAAGATGATCTGCTGCAGTTCAAGCTGAGCATCAGAATGGGGAAGAAAGGGGATTTAAGTGACTTTGAACATGGCATTGTTGTTGGTGCCAGACGGGCTGCTCTTAGGATTTCAGAAACTGCTGATCTACTGGGATTTTCACGCACAGCCATCTCTAGGGTTTACAGAGAATGGTCCGACAAAGAGGAAATATCCAGTGAGCAGCAATTCTGTGGGCGCAAATGTTGATGTCAGAGGTCAGAGGAGAATGGCCAGACTGGTTCCAGCTGATAGAAAGGCAACAGTAACTCAAATAAGCACTCGTTACAACCGATGTCTGCAGAAAAGCATCTCTGAACACACAACACGTCCAACCTTGAGGTGGATGGGCTACAGCAGCAGAAGAGCACACCGGGTAAATCTAATACTAGCTAAAAATAAACAGTCAAGGTGCAAACAGTTTGACTATAAATTATGAATGACTGAAAATCTCAGCAGATATTAAGAGTCGTAATTGTTGTTGTCATTTCCCTCACTTGTTTCTGGTCCTGGTATTAGTATTTATTTTCAGCTCTCTGCTTTGAGGTTCTAGATTCACTTTTGTGCTGCTCTAGCCAATAGCCAATAGGAGACTAAAGAAAGCAAAGTCTCATCTGATTGGTCAAATCTGGATAAACAAGCTTTTCTATTTCAGAGGTCGCCACTGTGGAATGAACCGCCAACTATTCCAGCATTTGTTTTACGCATCAGATGCCCTTTCAGCTGCAATCCAGTACTGGGAAACACCCATACCCACTTGTATTTACACTCATACACTACGGCCAATCTAGTTTCTCCAATTCCCTATAGCGCATGTGTTTGGACTGTGGGGGAAACCGGAGCACCCGGAGGAAACGTGCAAACTCCACACAGAAATGCCAACTGGTCCAGCTGGCACTCGAACCAGCAACCTTCTTGCTGTGCTAACCACTGAGCCACAGTGCCCCCCCCCTAAAATGGAATAATCTAGAACCAAATACTCACATGATCTCCTGGCTGCGGCCTCATGAGTGAAACCTGATCATATCCACGGCGGAAAAGAGCCAAGATGGCATCCAGTTTACCCTGAACAGGAGGAACGTGCTGTTAAACACTGGACTCAATTAAGCTCGCAACCAACATCAATAAACAGTAGCGACGGTGATGAAGCGTCTTTACCCTGATGGGCGAGTACCACTTCCTGTTCTGAGTCGGCTTCCTGTGGTCTGATTTTCTGGGCTTGGGTTCAAAGGGTTCAAACTCCTGCTCCGGCATCTTTATGACGGCGTTTTTGGGTTTCTCCAGCTTCGCTCCCTCCTCGGTGGAGCCTTTGCCTCCCCAGCGAACCTGCACACAGCAAAAACAACACATCATTTCACACACTTTTTTGAAACATGAAATCTGCCTACGTTATTATAATTTATTAATTGTATATTCTCTAATAACTGCACTGCATCCGTTTTACCAGCAATTACAGATTTGTTTCTCTTTTTTTGAGTAATCTCACCTCCATTCGTTTAATTCCCCCGACTCCTCGACCGCCGTAATATGAAGCGTCCACTGTGGGCCATTTCTTCTTGGGCATCCCGTCTTCATCATCAGATTCCTAAAAAACAGACTGTTTAGTTCTAGTGTAAGTTACTCACAAAGTCCATCTGACTGACTTCACTAAGCAGTGCACTCTGTCTAGTGCACACTACTGAGTTAGTGTGCATAGATTGAGACACTCGCTCTATCTTTTCTAATATTGCAAAAACACCACACTAGTTATTTTGTAGTATTTATTGACATATTATTATTATTATTATTATTACAATCAATAATAATAATAACAATATGAATAGCATTATTATTAATAAACTATTCGTAATGATCATAACTATTTTCAGTATTATTAGGAATTAATACCTACAATATAAATAATTGAGTACAATTTTTACTTAATAAAACAATGTTGTTTGTAATATAATAATAATAATGATAATAATAACAACAATAATAATAATAATAATAATAAAATTAACAATAATAATAAATTGTATTGTATTTGTATTTATTTTTGTATTGTTTAACATTTTAATAATTTCCCCATTATATAAAATAAATATTTAAACATAAATAGGATGCTCAGTCAGAAGTTTGTTTCTGGGTGAGAACATTTAGGTGCCATCAGATGGAGCCTTATTGACACAAAACCCAGCTAATCTTTGCAATTTGTCCAGCTGTGATTTATACATACAATTTATTATTATTATTATTATTGCTATTTTTAATTAATTATGTTTCCTTCAGAAGGCTTCCAACACCTTTGAGAATACAAAAATATTTGTCTCCAGTTGTCTCAAGTAATGCAGCTAGTGTTAAATAATATGCTAATAATAATAATAATAATTGTAATAATAATAATAATTGTAATAATAATAATTATGATAACAATTTTAATAAAATTAATAATTTTAATAATAATAATAATAATACTTTCAATAATAATACTTTCAATAATAATAATAATAATAATAATAGTAATAATAATAATAATAACTTTAATAATAATAATTATTATTATTATAATAACAATTTACGTAATAATAATAATAATTTTTATATTAATAATTTGAATAATAATAATAATAATAATAATAATTATTATTATTATTATTATGTTATTAAAGCTCATTTAATAAAGATGAAGATGTAACTCACAGGTTCTGGAGGAGGAGGAGGTGGAGGCTCTTTAATCACCTGTGAAAAAACAACAATCATTTATATCCATATCATATCAGTGACAGTAAATACCTACTACACAACCTGACAAAAGTGTTGTTGTTGGTCCCAGTTGTAAGAGCAACAAATAATAACTTGACCTCTAGTTGATTGTATGGAAAAGTGGCAGAAGGTGGATTTTTCTGCTGAATCATCTGTTGATCTGCATCCCAATCATCACAAATACTGCAGAAGACCTACTGGAACCCGCATGGACCCAAGATTTTCAGAGAAATCAGTCAAGTTTGGTGAAGGAAAAGTCATGGTTTGGGGTTACATTCAGTATGGGGGTGTGCGAGAGATCTGCAGAAACATTTGTGCTGCCCATTCCATTACAAACCACAGGAGAGGACAAATTCTCCAGCAGGATAGCGCTCCTGCTCATACTTCAGCCTCCACATCAAAGCTCCTGAAAGCAAAGAAGGTCAAGCTGCTCCAGGATTGGCCAGCCCAGTCATCAGACATGAACATTATTGAGCACTTCTGGGGTAAGATGAAGGAGGAGGCATTGAAGATGAATCCAAAGTATCTTGATGAGCTCTGGGAGTCCTGCAAGAACACTTTCTTTGGCATTCCAGATGACTTTATTAATCAGTGATTTGAGTCAGAGATGTATGGATGCAGTCCTCCAAGCTCATGATGGAGTCAGACACAATATTCACTCTGTCTCCACTGCAGCAGGACTTTATATTCAATACTGGACATTATTTCTGTTCAGTGACAAGACTTTAGTCTAAGCAAAGTCAGACCTTACTAATTCCTAATTAAAAAGTTCTAAATTAAGGAATGATCATGTTTTATTTTGGTTAAATAAACGTAATCTAGAGGCCTTTGTCTTTCATATAAGCCTCTTTTAACACCAAATGATCAACTAGAAGACAAGTTATTATTTGCTGTTCCTAAAACCTGGATAGGCGACAATATACACAAACAAAACAATACAGAGCAGCGTGTGAAATCATGACTCTGTTCTTCTGTGGCAAAATGCAGCCATTTTGAAACAGAAAGTGAGTTATTGATATTTTGGGGATTTTCAGGACCTCTTTTATATAGTTTTTTAAATAAATGCCAGAAAAAAATAGAACAAATAGTTTAAAGTCATTGTTGTTCAGTTCTGCAGTCTAGTTTTAGTCTTTTGCCTTTGTTGGGAAGTGTTATTAGAGTATACTGTGTTCTCATTTTAGATTAATTCATCTATTTTCCACCTTTACAGTCCCATTTAATAAAAATTAAAATTTTTAAATGTTAGTATCAGTATTTTAAGATATCAAGTGTGCTCCAAAACTGTGACAAAATTGACGCTTTGAAGAAATAACCTGATTTAACATCTAAAGTTTGCAGTTTGTCACTTTCACCAAAATGGATCAATATTTTTTTTTCATGTCACCTCATACTTCAGTTTCTCATCAAATCTTCTGACCAATCAAATGTCTTACATGCCCCGCCCCCTTCAGGATGCTTGTCATTTGCTTTTCATTTGATGAGAGCTGCAGAGCTGTGATAAAAACCAAACGCTATTGGCTGTGTTTTAAAAAGGGGAGGAGCTACTCTATTCAAAGTACACATGAAATCAATGTTTGTTCTGAATAATACATCTGTGCATGTCATTAAGATAAAGTGTGTCGTTTGCGCTTGTAATCAAAAATTTAAATCTCAAAATGCTCGTTCTGAACTCTCAGATTAGGTCTGCCTGAGGTATTGGGCGTAACTAACACTAAACCACGCCCCTCCAGCTGTCAGTTTTGACAACAAACAGAAATGGTGAGCAGGAGGAGTCTGTTAGGTTGTAATAACTGTCCCCAAACCCTTTTCCCCATCTTTCTGAATGAAATGCCTACTTTACTACATCCAATCAGCTCGCAGTATGAAAAAACAAGCCACGCCCACTTTTGTTTCTTTGCGTCACAATATGAAACAAAAATAACTGTTGCAGCTTCCGGTTGATGCAGACTTTAATGTTGAATTGAAGACTCCTACATCTCAGATGACTAGTGAGTGAGTAAATGAACTGTAAACGTTCATCTTTGGGTGAACTGTCCCTTTAAATCAGTCAACTTCAGTCTTTAAATAACATAAATATGCTTTGGCTCTGAGATGAAAACAACGCTAGTCTATATGTGAAGCTTGATGTTTATGGTGGTAAATGAGGCGAAGACTTACTACAGTGCAGCAGAGCGGCCAAAACCACCACATAAAGAGCAGAGCCAACAAGAGGAACAACACCAGCAGCGTGATCAGGAGAATCGTCCCGTCAAACTGACGAAAACACACACAGATGAACACCTTTAACACACCTTTACACTAATATAACACCACACTGATCTTCCAGGGTGTTTTTATTCATGGCAGAGAAATTACTGATGATGATTTTAAAAACAAAAACAAATAACAAAAACAAAGTGGCAAATAATTGGTCTGTTTCTTGATTCTGATTGGCTGGTAGGTGTACTTATTTCATCGGTTATACTACTGGAATACTACATGCTTGATTCTGATTGGCTGATGGCATTCTAAGGTGTGCAGTTACATGGAATTCTTGATTCTAATTGGCTGGTAGATGTACTTATTTTATTGTTCATACTACTGGGATGCTGAATACTTGATTCTGATTGGCTGATGGCATTCTAAAGTGTGCAGTTATTTGAAATTCTTGATTCTGATTGGCAGGTAGACGTACAATATTTTTTTTTACCACGGAGATACTAAATGCTTGATTCTGATTGGCTGATGGCATTTTAAGTCGTGCAGTAATTGAAATTCTTGTTTGTGATTGGCTGAGGGCATTCTAAAGTGTGCAGTTATTTGAAATTCTTGATTCTGATTGGCTGATGGCATTCTAAGGTGTGCAGTTATTTGAAATTCTTGATTCTGATTGGCTGATGGCATTCTAAAGTGTGCAGTTATTTGAAATTCTTGATTCTGATTGTCAGGTAGACGTACAATATCTTTTTTTACCGCGGAGATACTAAATGCTTGATTCTGATTGGCTGATGGCATTTTAAGTCGTGCAGTAATTGAAATTCTTGTTTGTGATTGGCTGAGGGCATTCTAAAGTGTGCAGTTATTTGAAATTCTTGATTCTGATTGGCTGATGGCATTCTAAGGTGTGCAGTTATTTGAAATTCTTGATTCTGATTGGCTGATGGCATTCTAAGGTGTGCAGTTATTTGAAATTCTTGATTCTGATTGGCTGGTAGGCGTACAATTTTTTTTATTTCACTGGGATACTAAATGCTTGATTCTGATTGGCTGATGGCATTATAAAGTGTGCAGTTATTTGAAATTCTTGATTCTGATTGGCTGATGGCATTCTAAGGTGTGCAGTTATTTGAAATTCTTGATTCTGATTGGCTGAGGGCATTCTAAAGTGTGCAGTTATTTGAAATTCTTGATTCTGATTGGCTGATGGCATTCTAAGGTGTGCAGTTATTTGAAATTCTTGATTCTGATTGGCTGATGGCATTCTAAGGTGTGCAGTTATTTGAAATTCTTGATTCTGATTGGCTGGTAGGCGTACAATTTTTTTATATCACTGGGATACTAAATGCTTGATTCTGATTGGCTGATGGCATTATAAAGTGTGCAGTTATTTGAAATTCTTGTTTCTGATTGGCTGATGGCATTCTAAGGTGTGCAGTTATTTGAAATTCTTGATTCTGATTGGCTGGTAGGCGTACAATATTTTTTTTATACTACGGGGATACTAAATGCTTGATTCTGATTGGCTGATGGCATTCTAAAGTGTGCAGTTATTTGAAATTCTTGATTCTGATTGGCTGGTGAGCATGACAACAAAAAATACCATAGTGTTCATGTAATGAATGTGACATTAAATAAGCATTAAATATTATTTATGTCATTTGGTCATAAATCAAACGCAAAACTAACAAATTGCATCAATATATCTAAATACAGATTTAATCTACAGGACTGATTTCCAGCAGAAGTGAAAGCTCTTAAGTGTAACCTTAAAGTGTGCGATGGGAAAGGAATTGAAGAGCGGACGAAGAAACGCTTCATAAACGTTATTCTGTGGTTGTGGGCTCAGTCAGACACAGAGACAGGATCTTTCGGGGGGTTTTGTAAAAGCCCCTGTGGTTTGGCTCTCGATCTGTGAGGGTTTTTGGAGGGTGAAGGAGTTTGTGAACAGCAAATCGTGATACGGGACGTCTGAACGTCACAAGGACAAAAATTAAAGGTGACAAAGGACAAGACCACCCATAAACTGCACATAGACTTCCCATTGATTTATAAAGCAACATAATTACAATCATACAGTACTTACCATAGGAACTTTTAGTTAGGATAACTATTAGGCTGATTTAATAAAATTTTAATAGACTGAATGATTTATTGAGACTCTTCACCACAATTTACAGAGCGTGTTTGTGATTGTGACTTACACACTCAGTGGTGGTGATGTGAACGGAGCTGGTGATGAAAGACAGACCCTCGTTCATGCTGACCTGCAGGTAAACCACCCTGAAGAGACACAAAAAACATCTTCAGCCCCATATCTGTCGCTTCCAAAAAGCACAACATCCTTTAACGCTGCACAGAAGCAGAATACAGCGAGACATGCATGCCAAACACAACCCCAAAGCATTTTTCATACTCTCACACAAAATGCCTGTCAGACCATAATTGGCAGAGCTTTGCAGGGAGCTGGTTAACTTTTGTTGAAGTCAGCTGTCTAGCGTCTCAAACATCCGACAAAAACAGCCTTCTGAATGTTCAGCATTCCCGCCCATGGTTTATCTTTTTGGAGAGATAAGTTCATTCGCGCTGATGAGGAGCAGCGACTTTGGCTTGCCTTCACATTTTTCTGTGCTCAAGTCAACTTGTGGACGCTGATTTTTGCCAGACAATCATTTCTGAGAGCTGTTGTTCATGCTTTATTTACTTCAAGTCAGAATTGTTAGCCCTTTTTTAATTTTCAAATATTTCCCAAATGATGTTTAACAGATTCAGGAATTTTCCACAGTATTTCCTATAATATTCTTTCTTCTTTAGAAAGTCTTATATGTTTTATTTCGGCTAGAATAAAAGCAGTTCTTAATTAAAAAATATATATATTTTAAGGTCAATAATGTCTATCATTGTTTTTGTCGGGATCTCCCATATTTGCCATTCAATACCGTCCTGTTTAAGTATTTTAGTGTACACTGTAAAAAAATGGCTGTGATTTGAACGGTAAAAAACTGTAACCTGTTCATTAATATATACGGCAAATAACTGTAAATTGACTTTCCCAGAATTCCCTGCATGCATCACTTTTTCGCTTTTTGTTGACATAACTATGTATTTTTGTTGTTGTTTCCCATCAGTTATGTACATTAGAGATTTATGTTACATCTGATGTTGATAGCTAATGTTTATTTCAAGACTTTGATTTTATGCATGTTGCCATGCTGGTGTTTAATAGCTGTGTAAATAACACTGAGCACCTTCTAAACACTGATACACTATTCTGCTTGTGGGAAAAGTTGATTGTGATGAGCATTAGTTCATTATGTAACTTTCTCATCACTATCTGTGTAACAAAGAGTGTTTAGATGTTAGTAATTCAAAATACTGACATATTACATCTATAAAATAATGAAATACGTTAGTTTACTGTAAAAATGAGAAATTACTTTTACGGTTTGAACCGTATTTTTAACAGTAAAATTCTGGCAACTGCAGCTGCCGTTTTTTTTTACCGTAAATTTTACGGATTTATTTTTTACAGTGTGTTTCTCCAAAATTTTTAATCTTTCTATGAAAAGTGAAAGTAGCATCAGAGCCGATGAGTAGCATCTCAAATCTGATCTAACTGCAGGAGCTGTTTAAGAGAATTATGCTTTCGCTTTATCTTGACTTGAAAGCACATCGAAGTTAATATAACAATGGCAGCATTCATTTCCAACAAAGCTATGCATGGACCACTGCCCATAACCCATACTTGTCAACCCTCCCGTTTTTCCGAGATTCTCTCGCTATCATCCCATGAATGTATTTTCCCAAACTTCTCCCATATTTTTAATCTTTCTATGAAGGGTGGCATTAAAGAGTAGTGATGGGCCGTTCATGAACGATTCGTTCATTTTGAACGAATCTTCAATATGACTCGGGAACTACGAGTCCTTTCAGGGAGTGATTCGTTTGTGCAGGTGATATCGTTCATTTCAAGTCTTTTGAGTCGTTCATCGCGGAAAGGCAGAAGACAATCATATGCGTTTAGAGCCGGAAAAAGAATTGAACCGTTCATCTCTGGAGTCCTCGGGTTTGAGTCATTCTGTCACGTGATGAACGAACGACTCAAGAGCCAGAAGACTTGAAAGGTGAACTAATCATCATGGCTCCTATCGACTCAGACTGTGTACATTGGTTAAGATTATATGTGACTGTCAGTTTAATGTGAACGAACCACTGACATTTAAAGACATGAAGAGGTGAGCTGAGCAAAGAGACAACAATACCTTCATAGACAAAAGAGCAGGTCAACAATGAAGTATTATTTTCTCCTTCCTATAGTATTCAGTTTATGACTTATTTGTCGTGTGATCAACCTTTTGGGCTAGTTGTAGATGTGTTTGAAAGCAATTCGTATCATTTTAATAATATTTTGGCGAATTGATCCAAATGAACGAAATGACTCGAAAAAAGATTCGCTCATCTCGATGAACGAGACTCAAAAATCCGAGTCAGTAAAATGATCCGAACTTCCCATCACTATTAAAGAGCTGATCCTCCCTATACACAACCGCAGAACCACCAGGGGACACTCTTTGCTCTTAAATGTGAACCTGTTCTGTGCTTTCATTTTATTTAGGCATGAAACCTAAAATAAATATAAAAACAGCACGATGGATTCCCTTCCTTTTCATTACAGGCGTTGTTGTCCAGCCTATGCAATCCTCAAAACAGTCAGTTCATGTAGCAGTGCGAGACTGTCAGATGCACTCCTTAGTGATAAATAGACGCAGTTTCTGATGGGAAGAAAATATGCAACCTCCAGTGTCTTTGAGAGCAATAAATGGCCAGAGGGAAATAATGGATGAGGAACAAAGAAAAACAAGTGTGTGTGGGTGTGTGTGCATGATTTCAGAGGAAGTGTCTGCTATAAAGACTCCTCAGACAGCCTGACATCATACATTGATTCTGCCGAAAGGAAACAGAAAACGAGGAACTTGCTGGAGAAGCGTGGCTGAACAGCATGACCTCAGAAGTAAACCAGTGTGTTGTGCAGGAAGGGGAATGTGACCTTTGACTGGGATCATAAACACGGCTCTAATGCATGGCAGACGCAAGCTTACTTTCCGACTTCATCTATAACAGGCGCAGGACACAGCAGGAACGTGTCTTCAACACTCGCCGGCTTCTCATCTGCACACAGAAACATATGAATGTGCAGAAATACATCAGAAAGGCAGATTATACACTCATGTTTGGAATAATTGGAGTTTTTGAAGTACACATTCCTCATCAGGGCTACAAAATGATTCGCCCTCCTGTGTAATTATTTTTCAGATATTTCCCAAGTGACACAATTTGAATCCTTCATTCGTTCATTTTCCTTTGACTTAGTCCCTTATTAATCAGGGGTTGCCACAGGGGAATGAACCGCCAACTTATCCCCAATAATATCCAGCTGCAGCCCCGCAGAACCACACACGTTTTAGGCACACACAATCTAGGACACACGATTTAGGCAAACCATCTATGGTAACTTTTTAGCATTATCGCCACCTATTGAATTTCACAAATATGGTTTCCCATTTCAGTCATCATTATTATTATATCGGTACGATCATTTTAACATCTCTGCAGTTTCTGAACTCAAATTATGTAAATAAAAATAATTGGTTAAAGACACTTATGACTTTATTCATGTGTCCATATACACAAAGAAAACATTATAGACCGTCTAATTGTTGGATTAAGTGTAATAAACTAATTCAAGCTCTTCATTTTTTCATACTTGGTTAAAATCACTTTGTTGTAAAATATAAAAAGCAAACAATAATATGTCACTTTAAAATAAATTATCCTGCTATAGTTAAAAATTTAAACAATATATATAGTTATAAAAGGATTTTCTTAATTGATTATAATTAAGTTTATATATAAACTACTATCTTTTACTAAACTGCTTTTTACTAATTTTTTTACTAAACACAGCTGTTATATATATATATATATATATATATATATATATATATATAGGAACAAATTAACTATTAATAATACAAAAAATCATAAGTATATATATATATATATATATATATATATATATATATAGGAACAAATTAACTATTAATAATACAAAAAATCATAAGTATATATATATATATATATATATATATATATATATATATATATATATATATATATATATATATATATAGGAACAAATTAACTATTAATAATACAAAAAATCATAAATATATATACAGTATATATATAGGAACAAATTAACTATTATTAATACAAAAAATCATAAGTATATATATATATATATATATATAGGAACAAATTAACTATTAATAATACAAAAAATCATAAGTATATATAAATATATATATATATATATATGGGAACAAATTAACTATTAATAATACAAAAAATCATAAGTATATATATATATATATATATATATATATATAGGAACAAATTAACTATTAATAATACAAAAAATCATATATATATATACAGTATATATATAGGAACAAATTAACTATTATTAATACAAAAAATCATAAGTATATATATATATATATAGGAACAAATTAACTATTAATAATACAAAAAATCATAAGTATATATAAATATATATATATATGGGAACAAATTAACTATTAATAATACAAAAAATCATAAGTATATATATATATATATATATATATATATATAGGAACAAATTAACTATTAATAATACAAAAAATCATAAGTATATATATATATATATATATATATATATATATATATATATATATATATATATATATATATATATATATACTTATGTTTTTTGTATTATTAATAGTTAATTTGTTTCTATTGCTAAATTTTGGTTTAAAAACAATTTATTGCTTACTATAAATTACTACAGTAGTAAACGTGTGAAATCATTAGTTAAAAGGTTATTAAAATAAAAAATATTAATATAGTGTTATAGCTACATTTGTTACATGTAAAAAGATTTTTATTACATATAATGTATTATTGCCTTTATTAACTTGCTATTATTTCCTTCATCATAAATTAATACATTATATAAATTAAACCTGTCCAAATTAGATCGTTCAGCAAGGCCAGCAATCGAGTATCTGCCATATTATTGTCAGATAATAATGGCTGATCAGCTATAATGACTGATTAAAAACTGTTCAGTCTATTATACTGAATGGCGATCGGAAACAACGCTCCCCATTCGGCCGCCTCAATCGCAATATTTGTGAAATAAAGTAAACACTATTGTTTATTGTGTGCAATATTTATTACTCATATATATCAAAATATATCGATGACGATGTTCAAAAATTTCGTTTATCATCATCATCTACTGAGACTCACTGAGAGTGACTGTGTCGTTGATTTTGAAGCTGCACAAGACCTGGTCGATGTTTCTGGCGTGCCGAAAGCCGTTTCCTCTCACCACCACCTGAAACGACTCTGAAACACAGATTCAAGCAGAAACACTGATCAATCTGCACACCATTACATCATTCCCCTGCTAAAACGTCAGCTTCTCTGTATTTTCGGCTCAATGTCTTCCTGCTGAAATCATCAGTAATGCTGGGTAATAATAATAAAACCACAATGATATAATTGTTCTGTGGGGTAAATGCGTCTCACAGACGGTCATGTTCAACGCTGGATTTTCCCTATATGAGGATGTCATGTTGCCTCGCTTATTCATTTCAGTGACTGTACAGTTGAAGTCTAATAATTAGCCCTCCTGTATATATTTTTCTCAATTTCTGTTTAATGGAGAGCAGATTTCTCCAACACATTTACAATCATAACAGTTTTAATAACTCATTTCTAATAACTAATTTATTCAACCCAAGCTCATTCTGGAAACATAGCCCCGCGGACGTTTCTAGAGACCGCGATTTATGTGGCCGGAGGTGCGTACGGCCGTGTTTAGTCTTTCTCGAGCGAACGCTGCGGGGCCCGGAGGAGGAGGAGCCGGCCGCGGGGACGACCGGGATCGAGTCCGGGGAACACTGGTTCCAGAAATCAGGTAAGATGAAACACAGAATCCAAAAAATAAGGGCGAGGATGCGGCGAGATCCGAAAACTCGGTTGAAATCAAAGACGAGGGCTTTTGCTTTTTTTTTTTTTTTTCTGGACGGCTTTTGCAAACTGTCGCTTGGGTTTAGGGAAGGAGGAGGAGGAGGAAGAGGAGGGCGGCAAGTTGGTCGATAGTTCGGTCGTTCAGTCAGTCAGCCAGTCAGTCGCTCCACAGCGGCCTCGACGGCTTTTCACGCGAGAACAGCGTGGGTGCAGGGCCGGCGCGTCCATAGAGGCGACCTAGGCAGCCGCCTAGGACGGCAGTATAGAGAGTGCGGCATTCGCGACACCTCCCTTACCACCCCCGTCTTTAGTTATGTCTGCGACACCTCCCTCAACACCCACGTCCTCAAATATATTTGCGCATAGACGCAAGAATAGAGAGGGCGGCGTCAGCGACACCTCCATCAGCACCCGCATGTCCTCAGTTATATCCGCGCCTCGGTTATATCCGGGTATAGGGCGGCAGAATAGAGGTCCGCAACACCTCACTTCATTTTCATAACCAGTCACTTTCGTTTTCACATTGGGGTGGAGGGCGGCGTGATCGTTCTCTGCCTAGAGCGGCAGTTCAGCTTGCTCCGGCCCTGCGCGGGTGCGAACGGTGCGCGCTCCTGAGAAGCGCCTGAGACACGAAAAAGTGCGCACAACGGCCTCTCGCACATCCGCGAAAACAAAAAACGCTCGAATACGTACCTCACGGGAGGTATCTCGCGGTCCGCTGAAACGTCCGCAGGGCTACGTTACCACAATGAGCCCGGGTTGGATTTATTTGATCTTTGCCATGATGACAGCACATAATATTAGACTAGATATTTGACTAGCCTTCAGCTTAAAGTGACATTTAAAGGCTTAACTGGGTTAATTACGCAAGTTAGGGTAATCAGGCAGGTCATTATATAACAGTTGTTGTTCTGTAGACTATCGAGAACAAACATTGCTCAAGGGGGATAATAATATTGACATTAAAATGGCTTAAAAAAATTAAAAACTGCTTTTATTCTAGCCGAAATAAAACAAATAAGACTTTCTCCAGGAGAAAAAATATTACAGGAAATACTGTGAAAAATTCCTGTTAAACATCATTTGGCAAATAAAAAATAAAGTAAAATTCACAGGAGGGCTGATAATTTTAATTTCAATTACACCACAATGATCTAAATCCACTGAGAGACATGCATATTATATATTATAGAGAATTCTTATGACAGAAATCCATTATGGGCTTTACTGCATTATTGAAAGTGGAGTAACTAGTGTACTACAAATAAATAGTTTACCCCAAGTAAATAGTGTAGTTGATGATAAATAAAAAAGCAAGCATGCTATTTTTATATTTACATACCTCCTGCACATACGCTGGATGGCTCCGCTGCCAAAATCTCTATGCAGGATTTCTTAATGATCTAAAACAGGAAATGTTAATTAAGAGAAAAGAGAAAACACACACATATAAGCAAGAGTTTTAATAACAATTTTTTTTCTCATTTATTTTGTCTTTGCCATGATGAGAGAACATAATATTTTACTAGTTATTTTATTTGAGAAAAAAATTATATTTACTTATTTTTAATAATATTGAGCATGAATATTGGCAGTTTTATTTATTTTTTATTCCACCCAAATTATAATATGTGTAAGAAAAAATTTAATTAAAAGTATATATAATGTGGTCTGCTGGTAAACATCTCGAGAAATATTTGAAAAATAATTATATATTAATTATATAATAAATAATTAATTAATTATATTTTGCAAGCTTTTTTATTAATTATCAATTTAAATACTTATAATTAAAGCTAAAGTGTGTATTTTCTACATTATTAATTTCATGTCCAATCATTATTCATTCATTCATTTTTCTGTCGGCTTAGTCCCTTTATTAATCCGGGGTCGATACAGCAGAATGAACCGCCAACTTATCCAACAAGTTTTTATGCAGCGGATGCCCTTCCAGCCGCAACCCATCACTGGGAAACATCCATACACACATTCACACACACACACACATATGTATTATATGTATTATATATATGTATATATATATATATATATATATATATATATATATATATATATATATATATATATATATATATATATATATATGTATTATTATATATAATTACAATTATAATAATAAATTAGAATTTTGTAGTTGGCTGTATACATTATTTCTCTTATGCAAATTCAAGCTTTTTTCATTAGTTATCAATTTAATGAATTAATATTAAAGCTAAAGTGAGTCATTTCTGCATTAATGTCATGTCCTTTAGTGATGAACAACAAATAGTGAACAAATAAAGATACGTTTTTGTTTATTTATAATAACTTAATTTATTTTCTTGTAATTACATCATGCTTAAACTGATTCACCTCAAAAGTTTTACTGCGACATATTGTCATTTTCATAACACAGACATTTCATTTCATAATTATGTTTTAACATTGAAAAATAAAACATACTACAACTGTGTTCTTATGTACAAACATACTAGCTTTAAGTAATGAGCATGCATTTTATTTCTCAATCAATCTTCCACATAGCTGGTTTATATATCGTTAAATATGTGCACTCTATTGAAGTGGATATTATATTTATATGATAATAGAGCATGCAGATAGACTAGATGAAATGACGTTTATATATTTACCGAGTCGATCATTCCTCTCAGAGCCTGGAATCCTCCCAAAACTGGAAACACGTGTTTACTGGTGTCTGCTATAGTCGCCAGCTGGAAGAGGACAGGATAATGTTTATTTACAGCTCATCGCCGCTTCCATTGGTTTATTTTGATGAGATTTCACCTCATAGTGGATGGTTTGCATTGATAAGTGCATATTTGGTTAAAGTACTTGTTTGGGATGCACCAATTTTGACCAATAACAATTATGACTCTGGTCAACTGCATAGGGTAATTGGACCAATTTAACACCCAACTGCAGCATTCATTACAATGCGACATCTTCAAAGGTGATTTTTTGCTATTCAATATTTTAGTAATTTTTATTTAACATTTAATAGAATATATTTATAATTAAACTTGATCAAAAAAAGCCAGCGCTGTTTCTCTGGGCCCTATCATATACCCGGCGCAAGATGCGGCGCAGTAGTCTTTTGCTAGTTTTAGCTTGGCGCAAGAGTCGTTTTGAGGCGTTGCGCTACGCTGTTTAAATAGCAAATGCATTAGCGCTCATAAGTGCACCCATAGGTGTTCTGGTCTAAAAAGGAAGGCGTTCTGAGGCGGACCGCTGGCACGTCGCTATTTTAAGAAACTATAATAGATTTTTTATTAGACTAAAACTAACCCGGTCTAAACTCCAGCGCAGAGTTGCGCCTGGCTTACACACTGCTTAATACACACAAGAGAGCAATAGGCAAATATCTTTACATATGAAAAAATTAAATATTAAGGATATATATAGGATATAATAAGAATAGATATAGAATATAAATATAAAGGATTAAAATATTACAAAACATATTAATTTCTAGCCTACATAAATATGAAAAATCACTGCTTTTATGTCTTCTTCATCTCGGGAGGCTTTTTCAGTTCATTTATAACAATTTGCTTTTGTATAATGTTATTATTATTACAATATTATTTATTATATCCATATTTATATATGTTTTATTAAAAACAAGCTTAGATTTGCCCACCTGTCAGGTATTAGACCATATGGGGCACAGCATGTGTTTTAGGATATAACTCAGGTTTTTGAGCACACTTCGTTAATATTGTTCATTTATTCGTTTGCTGGAAATTAGAACTGAATTTAGAAATAGTTTTGAAACGAATATTTGCGCTTAACAAACGCAATTAATTATTTATAGACTAATTGATGTCTGTGCGTAAAGGTTTCCCTATCCAAGAGCGAAAGTGAAAGTGATCGATTATCTCTCATTCTCACGCAGTAGATGCTCTGTTCAACAGTTTTCTGTTAATAAACTGTTAACTGTTTGCTTGTGAAATGCTCAGTTTTTCCACTTAGACTTACTTTACATCATGTAAATAGCGAATGCGCTCTTGGCGTGACGCAGCTGACTCTTAAAGGGAATGGGAGATGAGACTCTGATTGGTTTATTCTCAAAACACACCTATAACTCATTAAGAAAATAAACTCAACCCTTTTAGATCATGCGCCACGGCGCAAAGTGGATTTTCCTGTCCGTAAATTAGCAAAAATGCCTTCTGACACGCCCTGAAAGCGTTTGCGCCCTGCGTTTTGCGCTCTGTGCATGGACCGTCAAAATAGAGCCCTCTATGTCAATGATACCTTTTGCTTCCTCCCAAAAATACCATCTCGTCAACAGAGTGCAGTCGGGCGTGTTTTATTGTCCAAAACATTTCATCCCAAATGGTTTTGTCCAACCGGTTCTGCTTTTCTCTGACACACATCTGATATTTTGCAGATATTATATGATCCCTCTTTTTTTTGCAAGCCCTAATCCATTTTTTGTATTGAATGATTATTACAATCATTGGCGTATTCATAAGATGTGCAGCGCATTTGCTTTTTGTAATTAATACACAATCAGTATCGTCTTTTTTCATATTATTGCTGATAGCTCTAAAATAATCCAATCACTGATACATTAGTGCATCCATAGTACTTACTGATGTTTCGAGACTAGTCTAATAATGCTCATCATGGTCATTATCACCTGTGTTTCGTTGAAGTCCTTCACTCCAACACAATACACGATTGCACCCAGTGTCCGAGCTCGTGCAGCCTGGTTAGAAATCAAACAAGTGCAATTAAAAACCGTAAGTGACTATATATATATATATATATATATATATATATATATATATATATATATATATATATATTTAAAAACAACTTTTTTTACCTCTTGTTGAGCTGCTATCAGCTGATGTTCTTGAAGCTCACCGTCTGTCAATGCTATTATGACACTAGCAGTTCCTACAAAGTAGAGAGAAAAGCTTTAAATACATTTTTTTTGGACAGAAACATAGCTAGTAGGGCTCGGGGGAAATATTGATATAGCATAGCATCACAATATTTTACATAGCACTGATACACAGATCGATATTCATTCAGTCAGTCATTCATTTTCCTTTGGCTTAGTCCCCTATTCATCAGGTGTCGTCACAGTGGAATAAACCGCCCCATATCGATATATCGCTAATATTTTATTATACTGATTGGCTGAATAGTAAAATCAAATTCTTTGCAGACCACTAAATAAAGTTGTTGATCTGTCTAGTCAGCTGAGTCACCCTCAGTGTGCAGTAAGTAGTAAATTAAAGACAGCGGCATCATTTCTTTTTATTTAAAACAGATATTGCTAACGATTTCCACAATGTGAAGAAGAAAAAATGCAAAATGTCACAGAAAATCACAATAGATTTAAGGTTGCAATAATAATATAATTTTAAGCGTGCCTCACGTAGGTGAGTGGGCTTGACAAACCACCTGTAGAAAACACACTCTTTTATCTCTCTGACACTTTAACTGACACTTGCACCAGATTGCACTAGATACCTTCTTACAATCACTCCATATATGTATAAAAAATTGTGCGTTTTCGAGTGTGCCTCACACAGGTGAGTGGGGTTGACAAACCACCTGTAGAAACACTCTTCTCTTTATATGCACCACACACTTTACTTAAACTCCACCCTACAAGGACTTAATAAGAAAAACAATGTTTGCTTGTGTGGCGCTGTGGCGCAGTGGGTAGCAATGTCGCCTCCCAGCAAGAAGGTTGCTGGTTTGAGCCTTGGCTGGGTCAGCTGGCCTTTCTGTGTGGAGTTTACCAAGGAAAATAATAAGGAAATGTGTGTAAACTTTTGACTGTCTAGAACAGGGGTGTCAAACTCAATTCCTGGAGGGCCGAAGCCCTGCACAGTTTAGTTCCAACCCTGCTCCAACACACTTACCTGTAGGTTTCAAACAAGCCTGAAGGACTCAATTAGTTTGATCAGGTGTGTTTAATTAGGGTTGGAACTAAACTGTGCAGAGCTGCGGCCCTTTTGGAACTGAGTTTGACACCTGTGGTCTAGAAATTAATAAAAAAATTATTTCATTATTTTGGCATTTAGCAAATGTAAATCCAACCCAAGCTCATTCTGAAAACGTAGCCCCGCGAACGTTTCTGGAGACCGCGATTTACGTGACCAGAGGTACGTATGGCCGCATTTGTTTTTTTCGAGCGAATGCTACGGGGTGTGACGCCGCTCCCCTTCTTTGCGCTTGCTAGACGGCTGTGACGGCTCACCTCTGTGTGGAGGGCTTTCCAGCCGAAACCAGTTTGTCCGCTTAGCTCGCAGTGTTACGTCGGTGGAGCGGAGGCCTGGAGGAGGAGGAGCCTGCTGCGGCGACGACTGGGTTCGAGTCCAGGGAAGAGCGGTTCCAGAAATCAGGTGAGATGAAAAACAGAATTCAAAAAATAAAAACGAACAAGTTCGTTACGGGGCGAGAATGGTGAAACCCGAAAACGGCATCAAAATCGGAAGAGAACTTTTGCTTTTTTTATTTTTTATTTCTGGATGGCTTTTGTAAATTTTCGCTTGGGTTTAGGGATGGAGGAGGAGGGTGGTTGGGTCGGCGGATTGGCCGGCCGCCCGGTCGATCGTTCAGTCATTAAGTCTGTCAGTCAGACAGACGGTCGCTCAACAGCGGGCTCCGGTGGCTTTTGGCACGAAAACAGTGCGGGCACGAACGGCGCGCGCTCCCGAGAGATGTTCGAGACATGAAACAGAGTGACACAGCAGGCTCTTGCTGATTCGCAAAAACAAAAACTGCACAAATACGTACCTCCCGGCACGTATTTCGCAGCCTCCAGAAACGTCCGCTGGGCTACATTTCCACAATGAGCCTGGGTTGTGTGAATCATTTAGGTAATCCTTAAATAGTAAACGTTTAGTGTGATTTACCATCAGACATTTAAAAAAAATGGTTATGTTCCTTTTTTTGAGTGTATACAAACTTCTGGTTTCAACTGTATGTAGGACCGTGACCCTAAAACCCATCAACTATAACAATTGTAATAACTGAAACCTACCATAGTTCTCCTGGTATATTTGCTCATTTGCCTGTGAATGAAAACGAGATGACATTACTAAAATGAAACAAAATACATACAACATAAGCATAAGCTTTGATTTGAACATTTGACCTTTTCTAGACCAAGATGCATAAACGTATCTCCGCCAGGAATCTCACGCCGCAGAACGTTAAGGCCTTTTCTTATGGTCTCCCTTTTAAAAGAACGAAAACAATCCAAAATAAATAGATAAGCTGTTGATTTTAAAGTTCTCAAAAGCATGGAGTTGCTCAGCACCTGTTTTCTGTGAGTCTCATGATCGTGTTTCCTCTGGTCGAGAACACGATGAAGGACATTCGCAGCATCGGGCTGTGATGGGAAAAGGGTTTTCAAGTAAACAAAACTTCATCATCCCATAAACAGCAGAAATCCATCACAATTGGAGAACATCAACAAGAACATGCCGTGCACTCAACACTGCCATTCAATGCATTTCTGTTCAGTACCTGATGAATTTCTGTTCCAAAAGTTCAACAAACGAGTAGATTTCTTGCCAGTGATGTTTGACACTTCCTGACCTGAGGAAAAAGAGATGAAAAATCATCTAAATGCTCCTGCTTGCACTTTAAGGGTTAGTTCACACCAAAATTTTATTACTCATCCTTCGTTTATCTTAAGAACGCAAGTCAAGATGTTTCAGATGAAATCTGAGAGCTCCCTCATCCTCCAGAGACAGCAAGGATCCCGAAAAGAGTATTGTCAAAACATATCCTGTGACTTCAGTGGTTCATTCAACTGTAATTATATGAGGCTCCAAAAAACAGACAAAAAAAACCTAAGTAACCCTAAAGTAGCAAAATCTGGTTGCCTGAAGTACTGGGGCTATTGTTTTTTTCCTGGCAGATGTAGATAGAATTTGGTAGTCCGGCTGACAAAAACAATATTCCAAGGACTTTGGGCTACCACATTTTGCGAGCCCTGTAACCCTAACCCTAAAAATGCCACAGCAAACAACTGTTAAAAACGACTTCACTGTTCATCCATGTTTTCTATTTCAGATCTGGATGCGCATTTACTACAAGCTAAATCATGCTTGCTTGCATAAAACATTGTGTTTATATTCTTATTTTTGTTTGATTACAGTTTAATCATTAAAGTAACAAGGAATGTTTTAACAGGTTTTGAACGTCTCGTTGTTGGCCATAGAGGGTCAGAGAGCTTTTGGATTTCATCTAAAATATGTTAATCTGTGTTCTGAAGAACATCGAAGCTTTCAGGGGATTGGATGGACATGAGGGAGAGTAATTTTGTAGGAGAACTAACCCTTTAATACATGCATCAGACCACTACAAATAATATTTCTTCAAATTAAGGGCACAGTTTGGAATTTTCGCCACTAGAGGGCGTGTGTTCACAACAAACAAAAGCGTAGTTTTCATTTAAAAAAAAAATAGTCCTGTTTCTAGTTCAAATGTCTAAAAATTCTTAAATAAAGAAGCATTTTCTTAACAAGTAAAAAATATCGTTTTATTTTCAGAACTATCAGTCAAAATTAAGCGATTTCCTTAACAAGCTAAATTATCTGGCAGTGTTTTAAGGTAAAAGTCACTTAATTTTGACTCATTATTTCTGAAAATATATATGTTTTTCTACTTCTTTTCCAGGAAATGCTTCTTGATTAAAGCATGTTTAGACATTTGGACTAGAAACAAGACAAAAACAAGCTGATGGATGAGCTAAAGCTGCTCCTGTTTTCTATAAAACCAAACCAAAAAGTGAGTGTGTGTGTGTGTGTGTGTGTGTCTGCAAAATATATAACAACATTCCAGTGGTTTTGTATATTTTAATAATAACATCCTAAATGTTGTGCCTTTAAAGAATAGTTCACCCAAAACTTAAAATTCGGTCTTGCTTTTATCATTCGCTGCCCTTAAACACAAAAAAGAAGATATTTTGAAGAAAGCGTAACCATTGACTTCCATAGTATTTGTTTTTGCTACTGTGGAAGTCAGTGGTTACAGGTTTCTAACATGTTTCAAACCATCTTCTGCGTTCAAAAGTCTTTTTTAGTTGAACTAGCTCTTTAATTGACAAATGTTATTTAAATTAATAGTTTTCCTTCAGCTTAGTCCCTTATTTATCAGAGGTCGCCACAGCGGAATGAACTGCCACATATTCCAGCATATGTTTTACACTGTATGTTTTACACTGTTCATGTCTTATTATACAGTTTAAGTGCAAAGTACTTAAATAGTTTAATATTTGGTTCAATTCAACTTTTTTGTAGGCATAATTTATTGTATGAATGACTTTAAGTACAATAGACTAATGTTTTAAAAGTTTTTGACTGATCATGCCCCTGCCCCTAACCTGATTTGCTCAAGCAACGCCATATTCTCGTGGTTGCAGTAGCGGAAAACACTGTTTTAAGTTTGTTTCGCTTTAACTCATGCGCGGGTCCACACTTGAGGTGTGTATTCAGCAGGTGACTTTGCTGGTTAACCTGCAAAATTTTCACTTCTGAAATTCTGTGTGGACACGATCCCTTTTAATATGTCTGTAAAGTGTGTACCGCAGACTATTTACTGCATGAAAAGCAGGTTTTAAATGAATCGTGGCATTTTTACTTGACAAGCATTTTTTTTTTTACACGACACATTCAAAGCTGATGCGGTTTCATTTGTTTGCCCCTGCCTGGATGGTTGGCATGGAAAGGGCGCCAAGTTTGAACTCTAAATAAAGTGACACATATTAAAAGCATTAAGTGTATTCAACTTATACATATTAGAACAACTCTTATCTTTTAAGCAGAGCTCACTCAAGTTTTTTAAGTATACATTACTTATTTTTAGGGCAACCAGTTTCCTCTTATTTTTTTAAGTAAACTCAACTTATCCGGGCTTAGAGTGTACAAAGCGGATGCTCTTCTATCTAGTACTGGGAAACACCCATACACACTCATTCACACTCATACACTACGACCAATTTAGTTCATCGATTCCCCTATAGCGCATGCGTTCGGAAACCGGGGCACCCAAAGGAAACCCACACCAACATGGGGAGAACATGCAAACTCCACACAGAAATGCCAACTGGCCAAGCCGGGACTCAAAGCAGCGACCTTCTTGCTGTGAGGTGGTAGTGCTAACCACTGAGGCACAATGCCGCCCTTGCTTTTTAACTTATTCCCGGAAAGCAGTTTATCAGCAGATCCACCTAATTGTGTGTCCTTCTGTTCTTCCCCCTGGGGTCCCTCTATAAACTCTATGACAGCTGCTCATTTCCTCCTCAGTCCCCATGAGGCAACCTGTGCTAATTCATTAGTGCTGCGTGACAAATGGGAAATGAGCTACAAAGGTCGACTGATCTGCGATTGGGCCACTTTGACTTAATTAATGAAACATGCCGCAGAAAGCACAGGCTCTGTGTTGTGTCAACTTTATATTCCTCAGGCTGATGTAACACATTTACTCATGTGTATGTTTGACAAGGGGATCTTTTTTGGTGAGATTTAATTGATTTGTGTTTAAAAAAATGGCATTGTGGCATCATATGCTAATCACTTACATTGTGTACTGTAAAACATTTTTGTTAGTTAATAGTTTCCGTATTGAGTTATCAACACGTGTTTTCTGTTTATTTACAGTTTGCATGGATGTTGATCTCTGCTCTGTCCACTTTTGATGTTGAAAATTCAACTCTACAGTTTAACAAAGTGACTTTTATTGACATTTTAGTGGTTTGAAATAATAAAATGGATAAAATATATAGAGGAATAAGTCTTATAATATATAATGTATAAGTGTATAATAACTGAAAATTTACTGGCAGATTATTACAAGGTTTTTGTAGTGTAATATACAAAACCAACCTAGACGATATATCCCTTTAAACTATTAATAATGTTCATAAAAGTCACTTTTTTAACTTTTCAGGGTTACAAGTTGCTGGAAGAAAGATCAAGATCCCATAATGCAATTCAAAAGCTTAAACATTCGGCTTAATCCCTTTATTAATCTGCGGTCGCCACAGCGGAATGAACCTCCAACTTATCCAGCAAATGTTTTACTCAGCGGATGCCCTTCCAGCTGCAACCCATCTCTGGGAAACATCCATACACCCTCATGCACACTCATACACTACAGACAATTTATCCTACCCAATTCACCTGTACCACATGTCTTTAGACTGTGAGGACACCGGAGCACCCAGAGGAAACCTACGCGAATAAAGGGAGAACATGCAAACTCCACACAGAAACGCCAACTGACTCAGCCGAGGCTCGAACAAGCGACCTTCTTGCTGTGAGAGGACAGCACTACCTACTGCGCAACACACACACACACAGCACCAAGCAACACACAGCATCACGCTCTCTCTCTCTCTATCTCTCTCTCTCTCTCGCTCTCTTATTCACACACACACACATACATATAGAACACCAAGCAACACACAGCATCACACTCTCTCTCTCTCTCTCTCTCTCTCTCTCTCTCTCTTATTCACACACACACATACATATAGAGCACCATGCAACACACAGCATCACGCTCTCTCTCTCTCTCTCTCTCTCTCTCTCTCTTATTCACACACACACACATACATATAGAGCACCATGCAACACACAGCATCACGCTCTCTCTCTCTCTCTCTCTCTCTCTCTCTCTCATTCACACACACACACATACATATAGAGCACCAAGCAACACACAGCATTACGCTCTCTCTCATTCACACATATACACACACACATAAACAGCATCCATGCAGTTGCGCGCATGCTCGCTCGCTCGGTAGCGATATTGTTAGACCGCGCGCCTGCTCCCGTTTATATTACCCCAGAGTTACCGACCGCTCCCGCGCTTTATTCGGAAATTTATTCCCGCACCGCAAGAAATCTGGTCGGCTCCCACGGTACAGCAGCGGGAATGCAGACCTCTAGTTCGTATTTACCACGTCTCCCTTCTCGTTCTTTCGAAACAGGAAATACTGTCAAGCTGCAGGTCTCCTCCTCACCTCTCTCTCTCTCTCTCCTCCACACTGTCTCGTGATGATAATCACCTATACGCATTTTAGGCATTAAATAAATAATATTCAATATTTAATACTTGTCTCCTTTTTAAGTGCATGTTTTTTATGACGGTTTAACGGTATTGAAACTGACACCGTTGCTATTTTTAGATCCCGCGGTATCCCATATTACCGTATTACTGCCTAATTTACAGCACAGTTTATATAGCTGTATATGTATTTACAGAATTGTATGTCTTTGCTGTAAAATATACAGTAATTTTCACAATGCAACTAAATTAATATACAGTAACCTACTGCATAAATTTACTACAGTACAATACAGTTCAAATTACAGCTAATTACTGTGTTATTTACAATAAATCGTCAACACACTGTTAACAGTTTCCTGCACAATCTACAGTAACTTACTGGCAGCAGTTCACCACTGTAAATCAATTACAGCAAAATACTGTATTTACATTTACAGCAGCATTAATATCGCTGTGTATGTATTTACAGAATTGTATGTATATCTTTACTGTAAAATAGACAGTAATATTCACAA